CAAAAAAGACTTGTCGGCACACGCAGCGGGGAAAATCAAAGGAAGCCACGGGTGCGAAGGCGAGGTGGAACGTCAACAGCAAGTCTGCGATCGGTGAGGAAGGTTGTGGTGCTTGACACAGTATTAGCGTGCGGCCTATGCCCAAAGCAACAAGAGATTGCTTACCAAAATTCACCGGATGTCGTGGGCTAGAAGCAGAAGCCCAGAGGGTCGTGAGCCTGAGTCCGCTCATGCTCGCCGAGCAAATCGACAACGGGTTGCACAAGTACGCAGCAGTGTTCAGAGGTAAGGATCGTAATCGTCTAACTCAGATGAGCGATCAGGATTCTTCCAAGTGACTGTGACCTCTGGTAAGAAGACGACATTGCCAAGTCGTGCATTGTCAAGTAACTTCCAAATACGACGACGGTTCCAAAGACCCGAGTCCTTCCAGCAGTCAAGGCGGCCACGGTACTCGAAGACATCCGGCTGCGCAAGCTGACGCACCAAAAGCTCCCAGTCCCATGTACTCTCGTCGAAGACGTGCGATTTCTCCTTGTAGTGTCGCTCGGCTTCAGCAGGGTCGTGGTAAAACACTGTTTTACGGAACTCTTGCACGTTTCTCAGTTCCAAGTCAAAGATCCAAGGGATAAGCTTTCCACTGAGGAACTGGTCTCTCCACCACAGAGGAGTGTGGATCCGAGAGCATTCGATCGAGATACGAGATCGTGTGAATCGGTTCTTGCGAATGTCGGACTCATCGGCATCGAATGGTTGAAGATGCTCCTGGATACGCTCATATAGCTCTCTAGGCAAGCTCTGCACCCGCTCCCAAAGTCCCTTGATATCTTCGCGAATCTCCCAGCTTTTGCCGTCCATGGACTCAAGTTCGTTCATGACAATCTCCGTAAGGTTAGGGATATGCATAGGATTCCGCTCGTAGCGCTTGAGCTCAGGATTCTCATCGGTGTGCTCGAAGTACTGGGAGAGCTTAGTGTGGAATGGGGCGCCAAGGTAATCAAACGGGCAGGGGATCGGTTGGGTATGATTGCCGTTCGGGAATGCAGCAATGGCTCGTTTGCTCCATATCTCATAGAGGTGACCAAGATTCTGGGCTGTACCACCGCTAGCGAATCGGAACTCGATGTCGAACTGGGTCTGAGTCTCACAAAACTTACGGGCCACCTTGAAACAGTTGGAGTGAATAGGCAGTACCGGTCTCTGATAGGTTGTGCATAGGTCGTAGCTTTTGTTGCCAATGGTCTTGATGTTACTATAGCCGCCCTTGAACTCAGTGACTGGGAGCTCTACGATCATGCTGTCGCCCTCACGATGATAGGTGCGTACGGCACGAGGCTCTTGTTTCTGCCACTCGAGGAACTGAGGCTTAGCGATGACAAGGCTCATGTGCATCCAGTCTGGCAGGCTGCTGACGGGATTGCGGCTAGGTCGGTTAGTGCGAGGCTTGCATACGACGCCACAGATAACGCAGACTACTGCCTGCGAGAAAGTTACCTCCGGCTGAACAACACTGTTCAAGCCGGGCGGGTTCAGGTTCCAGAAGCCAGTATGAGCTGGAAGAGCTGGGAGAGCTGGGCCTGGTGGGGTCATACTGTTCATCCAGTGATAGGCCCCGTGAGTGGCAGTACCTTGGGCCGATGGCACGATTTGGCTAATGTTGGTTGGGGGCAGGCCAGGAGGCGGCTGCAACCAGACTGGGACAATGACACCAGCATTGATACCAGCATGGGCACCAGCATTGGCGCCAGCGTTGCTAACATCAGTGTTGCCAACACCAGCGTTGCCAACAGAATCGCCAGCAGTGTTGTCAGCAGTACAATCGGCAGTACCACCGGCAGTGTTGTCGGCCTGGTTGCCACCAGGGGCGTCACCAGGGTTGTCGTTATTGTTCATGGTAGCGTAGGATCGGAACTGGGCGAGACAGGCAAGGTAGGAATAGGCCAACAGGTGGTCCAAGTGAGTGAAGTCCCAGCCAGTGAATGATGTAGGGAGAAGAGAGGTTGACGCGTGCCTGTCGGATCTGTTCTTTATCAGAAGATAATGATTAGTAACCACAAATTCAGCAGCTTGTACGAGATACACTCTGAAACAAAGTTCAGGTACGTGACTAGTCAGTATTTCTGGCGTTGGTTTAGGGTTTGGGAAAGACAGTTAGGGTAGCTCGACAGAAGCGTCATTAGTACATACCGATATCCGGACGCCGACAGCGTATCGTCTCAAGAGATGGGCACTCGCTCGTCCAGTGCTATCGGGCTCTGTGATCGTGGGAGGTTATGTCAGGCAAGGCTGAGACAAGTACTGGAAAGAGAATTGGGCGCCGGCGAAGCTGAGCCTCGCCGCAACCGCACGCGGGGAGAAAGAATACGCGCAGTAGCTCGCGGATGGAGGAAAGAGAAGGGATTGACTTACTGGCAAGATATTCAGCCTGAAAAGCAATCGAGAGTCGCGAACTCTGTTGCTTGACCAGCTGAGGCGTGAAGTGATCCCGTACTATCTGTCTCGAGGCTGTCTCGAGTCTGTGTAGTAGGAGGCTTCAGGGAACGTGGGAAGGCTGGGCAGGGAAAGATTGGGGTAGCCGGCTTGGGGGGGGATTAGCAGCAGAATGTCAACAGGGCAGGAGTGCCTAGTAAACAACGGTACTGGAAGGAAGTGAAGTAAACGACGTAATGTAAACGAAAAAGTAAACGAAACGGGCTTGGGCCACCGCACTCTCTTTCCTCGATTGAAACTGGGACTATGCGCCGACAGCACAGTTATATGCGTCAGTCACTTTGGGAAGCCAGCTTCGTCTGATGTAATCGTTGGGAGGAGTGTTGCGATTCAATCAGGGAAAGAGATTGAAGTGATGGAGAAGACCTAATCGAGCGGGAGCATCTTGATGTTGTTTGGCTTGCTGAGACATGTCTTGGTGAATCTTTTAGGAAGGGGCAAACGCTTTCGAAAGGCTCGGCATTGTTGGCAGGGCACTGAGTTTTTTTAACAGCGAGACAATCAATTGGATATCACAAATCCCGGGCAAGCATGACCGGTCTTTATCGCCGTGGAAGTGCTCTCTATACGGCGAGCTAAGCTGTAGTCGAGATAGGATGAGGACACTCATACGAGTAGTATCAACTAAGTCTCTCAGCGAGACTCTGCGAACCAGGAAGTAAGATCGCTTCAAAGACATGAGGGGGAGATTGTTAAAGAAACTTCACATCATCACATGCTGTGTTTGTCACGGTTGTTCTATGTGTGTTGCCCTTTGAGAGACTAGCATAGAAGGGCACTTTGTTTGAGTTGAAGTGATATATGGGATGGATTGCGGCGCTCGAAATATGGAATAGAGATATGACGCAAGGTGAAAGAATGTTGAAAGAGTGTCATAAATTGTTGGTGCTGGGTCGAAAATGGGATGTGAAACAAAATTCTCCAACCGAACGCTTCTCCAAATGACTCCTCAGTATAGAGTCTCAGCACAGGCCAGCAAAGTCGGAGTAGGGATACGCCGGCCGACCGCCTCCTTGTACGACGTGGAGCAATGCCGTGGCACGAGAGAGCGTGCCTGTAAGTCCCCGGGCCCAGTATGCCCCAGGGGAGAGTGAACTGTAAGTTTTCTGACGGCCAAGAAGAATGATAAACGTGATTGTAGGTATTTCCGAAGGCCGAGATAGAGAGGTTGATTTACTCCTCATTCATTGATTGTCCCATAGATGTCTATATTTGGCCGTTAATTGACATACATCCTAAAGAGAATGTGGGTGGCTTCGGCGATTAACAGTGTATGTGTGGAAATATGTTTCGGCGCAGACTATCAATTGCTTGCCTCATTGCATACAAATAGAAAAGGGGCTAAATTGTGGTGCGTGTGAATCTATGATCCAGCATAGCCAGATTTGATGTTTAAGCCTGTTTGGTTGCGGTTGGCGGGAGGTGCTATGTCACCAAAGGTCAGTCATGTATCGAGATACTTGGAATTGCCAACCGCATCAAGTAAGCCAACAGACGATAATAATTACTTCGCGACCATTTTCAAAACTTGATGAGAAGATGAGAAAATGGCAATATAGTGTGATATACTAGACCACAATGTTGAGATATAGTTGCTACCAGAATGTCGTGGCACCAAGGCCTGTATTGCACCAGTCAAGATCCTGTTGATGCATATTCGCGTATTAGATAAATTTGTAAACATCAGAGGCGGAACTCCATCAAGTGTACAATAACCATAATATTCAAAAGTCTCCTGTATAAGCTACAGTCTCGCGCTTGGTAAATGCGGGAAGAATATGCGTTCTAAGGGACACGACAACATTACAAGTGAGGACAGTATCACGAGATAATTGTCAGCTGCGCCATGACATGGAGGCGTAGATATAGATATCTGACCGAAAATCACGTGGTTATCATGACTTCCCCTATTATAGGTATTCTATACTAAGCTCGGGCAGTGCAAGAAAGCCAATGATGGCACAGCATAGTCGCAATTGGCCACAACTGCGGTCCTTCCGATGTATAGGTAATAAGTAGTTCCGGAGACTGCTGACTAGTGGGATCCAACATTGCTCGGTTATGAGAGATCGAGGTTGAGGCTGAAGATGGAACAAGAGTACATGCTGCCTTTAAAAAGGCATCATAACACACATAGGTACAACTTTGGGAGACCTATCGCATCTCCCACCATACCTTTCGTACCGTAAGAGAGCAGAGGACATGCAACGCGAGTATGACGGCAAATGGGGTGCACCGTGCAGGTGGCATCTCCAAGCTCTTCTGTTGCCGGACTCTCATGTCTAGATAGTTAGGTTGGTATAGAAATGACAAGCGCACTCTCGGCCATTGTTCTTCTTTTCTCTTTCTTTGCTATTTGGAAAAAGAGAGAACCTTGATTACCATATGGGAAAGGCATGAACCAGCTGTCAGTATAACGTTAGGGGATGTCCTACTTCTCCAAGCATCGAGGGCATCTCGCGACAATAGTAGTAAAAAAAGTTACGCCCCAGAAAAAAGAAAACGGCGATCGCCCCGACCGGGAATCGAACCCGGACCCTTCCAAACAGCGCCGCGTCGATTTTAGTCGACGAGGTGCAGTTGCGCCGCCCTGACCATTAGACCATCGGGGCTTGTTCTGACTTGTTGTTGCCGACCAGAGCCAGTATTTAGATACATAAAGCGCCGTCCATTGTACGAAGTGAGGAACAACAGTCCTTCCAGTGATGAGAAAGTGCCAATCTGCACCTTCCCCTACTCCACCACACCTCTTCTCTCACAGTATCTCACAACACCTGAGCATCAAAGAGACACTAGATTCCAACAAATCATATTTTCATTCCAGCCCATTTGGCCATTGTATGAACAAGTATGAGTACTGAAAACATTATGTACTCCATGCTCCAATCCCTTTTATCGTTCGCAGCCCAGGTCCGACAACTAAGGTATCATGCAATCAAAAAGAGGTACTCGCCCAATCAATGAAGTCAAGTCAAGTCTCCAGCCAGTAACACCTTCCCGAAAACCACCACCCCATCAAAAAACACCATTCTGCAACTTCACAACTCTCTTCCCTCATACCATGACATCTCTCAATTCAACCTAGGACTCTTCCTCCTCCCAACACTCTGCGAGAAAATCTCTTTCCCACCCCCAGGAACCAGCGTCGCAAGCGTTGGTAAAGGCAGAGGCAAATTCTCCCTCCCATCAATGCTCAACGTCTTTTTCGCCGGTTTGCTCCTAGAAGTCCTACTCTTCTTAAGCAGTGGCATCGTCACATCCATATTCTCAGCTATATCTGCATCAGCACCCATCGTCATACTGGACCTCGAATCAAAGCCGAACCGATCGTTGATATTAGGATGCAGCTCCCTCAGACTCATAGCCATCGGGTTACGTGCTCGATCTCCCAGAGGCGCAACCTCGTCGTCGGTAGGCGGTCGAGATGGGGACCGATTTTCGGCCAACGTTGGGTCAGCGTCATTGAAGACGCTAGCTTTACTAGGCGACGGCTCTCCGTTAAACTTGGCAAGTAGTGAATCGTGTGCCTGCGTGCGTGGAAGCTCTGTGGGGAATTCGTATGACACCTTTTGTGGCGTATCGCCCGTGGGTTTATACTCTTGGATGACTGTATTGTTGATATCCTCGCGAAGATCGGCAAGCGGCTTGTTGAGATCTGTCTCGAGTGGCTCTAAAGTCTCTTCGGCAGCCCTAACACTGGACTCCATTTCTGACCCAAGCTCCTCCACCCGTGAGCACGTCGTTTCGAAGTGGTTTCCGATCTTGGCGTAGGAGTCTTCTACCGTAGCTGATAGGTTCCGGAGAGATTGACCATGTTGCTCGTCGTGTTGTGCGTTTTGCGATCGAGCTCGGGTGACAAAATCATCGAGCGACGTCATCTGTTCATCCAAATCCTGCATCTGCTGATCAACGACACGTACTGTCTCCGCATGAACATTGTTAGTGACATCCTGGATCGAAGTGCTGTAATTGTTGGCCGCCTGCATACTGTTAGCGCAATCCACATGACATAGGCTTCCTGTGTTCACATACCGTCCAGTCGTCCTGCATTTTGGTTTTCAAAGCTTCGCGTGATGTGGCCATGTCATCCAGGAAGTCGTCTTCTTGTCTGCCCCAGTTCTGCATACCCTCGTTGTATTCCGAGAGGCTGCTCTCTATCGCCGTGTTGTTTCCGCGAACCGTCTGTTGAATGTAAACCGCTTTGTTAGCGAGGCGTGTCTCTTGAGCTTCAGCTTGAGAGTTGATAAGGCTTGAGATTTGCGCCAGGAGAGCGCGACGTTCTTCAGCAGCTTGCACTCGTTCCTGGTTGATCACTTCCTGTATTTGGGCCGAGACAGATTCATTTGTGCGCATGATCGTCTCGCTAGCGGCACGCAACTGCTCTCTAAGGTCATCGGACTCTTTCCGCTGGGCAAAGATGTGGTTCAATAATTTTTCGAAGATAGTTTTGAAGTCCTTGCCCAAGGTTGAGTACGAAGTATGGAGGAAGTTGTGGAAAGCACCCAGTTCGCTCAAGACATCATGTGATATCGTCTCGGCGGCTGTTGCAATAGCCCGGAGGCTATCACCGACGCGACTTTTGATGTGATCCCGTACTTCTTTGATCTCTTCCAGCACTTCATCCATTTCCTCTTTGGATTGCCGCTTGCGATCCAGGAGCTCATGTTTAGAATGTGCAAAGGCCTCCAGGTTGTGATCTAGAAATGATTGCGTGGTGGAGAGTTTCTCCAGTTCTGCCTCTACGAAGGCCTGCATTCGGCCAGAGATTGAGGTCAAATGTTGTTGCTGCTCGCTCTGAAATTCATCGATACGTCCTTCTACAAGCGATGTGATGTGAGAAACCTGTTCCTGGGCCAGACTCCAGTTCGTCCGATTGAGGGCCTGTAGATCAGATTTCCTCTTGTTTTTTGCATGCAACCCCCCGACGTGTCCAACGGTTTTTTGCAATGTGTTGATAAGCTCACCGCCGACAGCGTGCATCCGTTCCTCTGTTTTTTGATGAGCTTGTCGCAGATGGGACTCTTCGGCAAGAGTCTTGCGGGTCGCTTCTAGTACAAGTTCAGTCTGGTCGAGGACTCCCCTCGCCTCGTCTAGTTGCACCTTGGTCGCATCGTGGTCCTTTTTGAGTCCCATAAAATTGGAGGTCAAAGAGAAAAGCTCTTGCACTTTGTTTCGTAGATTAGACTCCAGGGTTTCCAATTTCGCCGCTTGTTCTTCGTTCTGAATCCGCCGAGACTCGCTCACCACTGCCATTTCTTCGTAACTCTCATTCGATAGATAGACACCATTGCGCTGCCGCGTGGCAATGAGCTCGCTCTTGAGCTTCTCGATTTCATGGGTGAATTCGCGGAGTAGCGCATCTTTCCTGATCATCTGGTTGACTTGGGGTTTGTTGCGGATATTCTTGGCTCGGAAGGCATAATCTAATGTGGATATGGTCTCCTCCAGATTGCTCTTGGCTGGCGAAATGGTAGCAATTATGCAGGTCTTAGTTCGACCACCAAGGGAGTCTTGCAAGAGGCGCGTGAGCTTCGACTCTCGATATGGAATATGCGAGCTGCGATCGACAAGAGCATTGATAACCCTCCCCAGAGTCAGCAGACTCTTGTTGATCAGACCGGCTTCGGCGGCGCGCTGCTTTTCTGCACCGGATCGCCCGATGTTCTCACTGCCAGCGAGATCGACCAGGTTCAATTTACCTGCACTGACCCAGTCCTCGCCATCGTCCCCGGTCCTCTTGATGCAAGCCGTTATGGTGAAGACGGTATGACTTCGACTGCTAAGATCATTGCATTTCGTCGCCGCGACTTGTCGTTTGTAGCTTCCCCTCTGTAAGAGTTTGATGCCTTCGGCAGCACTGCTAATATGAGCCTCCTCCATTCCTTGGACGACCGTGGTGGTATGCCCTCTGCGAGAGTTGTCGTCAAAGATTTTCAACTTGACACTTTCTTCTACCGACATGAGGTCTCGGAGTTCTTCGTTGTATAGTTCGATAAAGGAGCATTTCACGAAGCTCTCGGTGTCTTCGGCGTCCAGCTTTTTGAACAGTGAGTGTAGTACTCGCGGTATGATGCCCGCAGCATCTGGTAATATGCCGTACGTCTCGTTCATGTCTCCTGACATAGTATATGTTTTACCAGTGCCGGTCTGGCCGTAGGCGAAAATGGTACAATTGTAGCCGCTGAGGGTCTATACGATGGTCAGCTGAGGTTTTCTAGGTGTTGTCATCGATGCGACTCGTCATACTTCTTCTAGGATGGGTTTCACGACGTCTTCATAGATCATGGCCTGATCGGCAGCCTGGGAGAAGACGCGATCAAAGTTGTAGGTCTTGTTGGCGAGGGCACTTGGGCCCATAGAGATCTCGACAGCCTTTCCCTTGACGCGTTCGGTGGAGACGACGACGGCGCTGTTGTCCTCTACTTCGTTCTGAGTTCGGCCGCGACAGCGTACGACAACATTGATGTTGGTCTCGAGAGCCGAAGTGTCAAGGTCGAACTCGCGTTCTTTGCGCTTGGTACCTGACGTAGCGGCAGACATCATGGAGTCGGCCGGGGACGGGGCGGCAGTGCGATCGATGCGGGCGGCAACGGCAGCATGATGGTACATGGGCTGTCTGTGAGTAGATTGTCTTGAGGAGGAGGTAGAAGAAGTCGTGGCTGGTCTCGTGGGCCTGGTAATCCTCGAGGAGCCAGCCACGGGGGCCCTCTCGCCCCTAACAGAGCGGCCCTGCATTGGAGGTTGTGGTGGTATGTTGGCGGTGGTTATGGGATGTAGATCTAAGCGTTTTTGACTCTGATCGTAAGGGATGAATTAGAACTTATGTTAATGTCAACAAAGTTATGAAGCCGAACAATCACAAATTGAGCCGAGAGCGATGAATAAGTGGAAGAACGCGTGCATCTGTGTTCGAAACAAAATTGAATCGCAAGGCGAGGCTCAGGTCCAATGTCCTTCGGGGTCGCAAGTGGTATAGTCGTACAAAAGATGTAGAGAGGTATGATGTGAGCGGTGACCTACCTAATCTTCGAAGCAGCATGGGTGAAGACGCGCCCGACTGCCATGTCCCGCCTGCTCCAGCAAACCCCTGTCGGCTCCTGCCGAAATGTCAACAGTCAACAGGGTTTAGCGGGCTGTAGTTGCCTGGACGACGCTGAAGCGGGGACCCCCAGCTTCCACTATCCCACCGCCGAGATGGGCAATTGGCACGTCGAGAAGAAGACGACAAGGCGGTACATGAGCTCCGAGGAAGTATCCGTTTGCGACTCGCCATATCAAGAGCCCAATGCTTGAAGCCCGAATCTTTCCCTGCAATATCATATCTAGTAGAGTAATAGCAACTTGGATCAAGAGGTCTTGTTATGGACCCTTTACTCCGTACCTGCCTTAGCCTCCCTCGCCTCCTCTACTGATCTCCTCATGCCGCATCGCCTGATCTGGAAGTTTACGGCCTGGGTATCTCCCTGATGTAGATGGTAGTATACACAGAATGGGGGAGCATGTCGCGACAAGCCCAATAGGGCAGCTCTGGTGACTGGCGATGAGTTCCCTGCTACCTCCAGTAGAAAGGTCCAGTAGCTTTGGCGGTGGGGGCGGCCTGGAATGTCTTATC